TGCTCTTGAGGCCCTCACTAAGTTCGCTGAGGTTCTCACTAAGTTCATTGAGCATCCTTATAAGCAGTGTTTTGAACTCAGCATCTGTTAGGTTGCGTATCTCCATTTTACTTATTTCTTTTCCTGAAGATTTTTTCTGTTCTTTCATTTGGGACCTGTTTCTTTGTCTCCTTATTTTGGCTGTCTCCCTGTGTTTGTTTCTATATATTACTTAACGAGCGGTATGGAGCTAGCTAAGACCAGATGCTGCTTGTTTGAAAGAATTTAGGAAAACCTGAAGCAGGATCCAAGACAGGCCAATCCTATGGTGAAACAACTGGCAACAGCTTGGGTGGGCCTGGAAGTTGGGTGGGGTGGGGCCTCAGGGAATCACCAGGGTGGGGCAACCAGTATGAGCCAGGTTTTGGAGTCCCAGATATGGTTGCTTCCTCAGGGAAGGGCTCACCAAAGGAACAAAGGCCTCTGACAGCACCTCTATCCTGGAGAAAGCCCCCTCTCCATCCCTCACTCCAGTGCCAAACAGCTCAGTTCTTCCCTGTATGTCTCTGGTACCCCTCAAACTGCCTCCCCTCCAAGCTCAGAGGGAATGAGTCCAATAAGTTTGTGCATGGGCCCTTTAAGAGTAGCTGCCTAGGGCTCCAGCCACCTCAGCCTCCCTAAGCCTCAGTTCCCACTGGTTTTTCCAGCCAGAAGTTATGGGGACTTCTCTCTTTGGCACTGGAACCCTGAGCAGGGTGCCTGGTGTGGGACGGGGACTCCTCAGTCCTCAGAGAGGACCTTCCCAGCTGAGGTATCTTCATGATTTGTATCCGCCACACGTGGGTGTGGGATCAGCCTGTTGCACCTTTGCCCCTCCTACCAGTCTCCAAGTGGCTGCTGCTTCTTTAATCTCGTAGTTGTAGGACTTCCATTCAGTTTGATTTCAGGTGGTTTTGAATGATGATTATTCTGTAGTTTAGTTGTAACTTTGATGTGGTTGTGGGAGGACATGATAATGCATTTACCTACGCCACCATCTTCACTGAAAGTCCAACACCCGTTTCTGATAAAAACGCTCAGCAATGTGGGAATAGAGGGATCATATCTCAACATAATAAAGACCATATGTGAAAAATCTACAACAAACATCATACGCAATGGGCAAAAACTAAAAGCATTTCCCTTAAGAACAGGAGCAAGACAGGGATGCCCACTTTCACCAGTCTTATTTAACATAGTACTGGAAGTCTTAGCCACAGCAATTAGACATGAAGAAAAATAAAGGGGATCCAAATTGGAAAGGAGGAAGTGAAACTGTCACTATTTTCAGATGACATGATATTGTACATAGAAAACCCCAAAGACTCCATCAAAAATCTACTAGACTTAATAAATGAATTTGGCAAAGTAGCAGGATACAAAATTAACATCCAGAAATCAATGGCATTCTTATACACCAATAATGAACACTCTGAAAGGGAAACAAAACAAAACAATCCCATTTAGCACCGCAACAACAACAAAAAAGAAAACACCTAGGAATAAACTTAACCAAGGAGGTAAAAGACCTGTTCTCAGAAAACTACCGGACATTTAAAAACTAAATAGAAGAAGATAAAAAATGTAGAAACATATACCATGTTCATCAATCAGAAAAATCAATATCAGTAAAATGTCCATACTACCCAAAGCAATCTACAGATTCAATGAAATCCCTATTAATGTACCAATAGCATATTTAGATCTAGAAAAAACACTCTGAAAATTCATATGGAACCATAAAAGACCCTGAATAGCCACAGAAATTTTGAAAAAGAAGAACCAAATTAGAGCGATCACAATACCAGATATCGAATTATACTACAAAGCCATCATAATCAAAAGAGCCTAGTACTGGCACAAGAACAGACATATAGATCAATGGAACAGAACAGAGAACCCAGATATTTACCCAAGACAGTATGGATAATTAATATTTGACAAAGGAGGCAAGAGCATACAGTGGAGAAAAGATAGTTTCTTCAATAAATGGTGCTGGGAAAATTGGAGAGCTATATGCAAATAAATAAATAAATAAATGAATACATAAATAAATAAATACATAAATAAATAAATAAAACTACATCACCAACTGACACCATACACAGGAATAAACTCAAAATGGATAAAAGACTTAAATGTAACCTGTGAAAGCATAAAATTTCTAGAAGAAAATGGTAGGTAAAAAAATCTCAGACATCATATGCAGTGGAATTTTCACTGATACATCACCTAAGGCAAGAGAAACAAAGGAAAATATTAATAAATGGGACTACATCAAACTTAAAAGCTTCTGCATGGCATAAGAAGTCAGCGTCAATATTAAAAGAGAACCCACTCTCTGGGAGAACTTATTTGCCAACGATACATTGGATAAGGGGTTAATATCTAAAATATATAGAGTATTCAAGCAACGCAACAATAGAAAGACAATCAATCCAATTAAAAAATGGGCAGAGGAACTGAATAGATACTTCTCCAAACAGGACATACAAAAGGCCAGGAGACATATGAAAAAAAATGCTCATCATCTCCAATCATTAGAGAAATAAAAATTATAATGACTATGCGGTATCACCTTACACCTGCCAGAATGGTGGCCATCAACAAATCCTCAAACAACAAGTGCTGGTGAGGATGTGGAGAAAAGGGTACCCTAGCACACTGCTGGTGGGAATGCAGACTGGTGCAGCCACTATGGAAAACAATATGGTGTTTCCTCAAAAAAATTAAAATTGAACTGCCATTTGACCCAGTGATTCCACTTCTTAGAATATATCCTAAGAAGCCTGAAGCACCAATCAGGAAGAATATATGTACCCCTATGTTCATAGCAGCACTATTTACAATAGCTAAGATCTGCAAACAGCCCAAGTGCCTATCAGTGGATGAGTGGATAAAAAAGCTGTGGTACATAGACACAATGGAATACTATGCAGCTATAAGAAAGAGAGATCTCTTACCCTTGGAGACAATATGGAGGGACCTGGAGAGTATTATGCTAATAAGCTAGTCAGAGAAAGACTAGTACCACATAATCTCACTTATTTGTGGAGCATAATGAACAAAATAAGCTGTCCACCAAAAGATATCCAGAATCATGGAAGTAGGGAACAGACTGACAAACCTCTGTTTGGGGCGTGGGAGGGGTGGGAAGAGATAAGCCAAAGAACTTATATGCATATATACACAACCAATCATTACACACAGTAGGCTGAGGAAGGCAGTATGGGGGTTGGGAGTGGGAAGGAGAGCGTCAGTGGAAAAAAAAGGGGGAGATCTTTAATACTTTCAACAATAAAAAAAAAAAAAGAAATGACTTGAGGATGTTTCCAACAAAATGTGATTATCAGTCAGGACTCTGGATTCAAGTAACAGAAACCGAGGCTGATTAATTTCAGCAGGAAAGGGATTTACTGCAAGGTTATCACCTAGCTCACAGAAGTCTGGAGAATCAGGCATGAGAAGCTACATTGAGGCCACACTGTGTTAACAGCCAGCTAGAATGCTTCTCCTGGCACTGCTACCTCCACCGCTGCAACCCTTGCGACCCTTGAAAGTCATCCTACCATCATATGACACTGCATTTGAATGCCATCCATCCTCCTGTCTGTTCTTGTTTATTTGTAGTCAACTTCGGGATTGTGTTACTCCTGCTCCTCAAATCCATGGGATATTATTTTCCTCAGTCCAAAAAAAAAAAAAAGAAAAGGGGATGGGGGATGGGGACATCCAAAGGGAAGGGTTACACAGCACTGAGCCATGGGGTATTGAATCTATAATGGCAGTCCCTAGGAGCTGGAGTTTCGTCCTTATATGTGTCCACTAGTGGGAAGTTTTTGTCATTAGTGGGTTTTGGGGTCTTGGTTGGTAGGTTTGGGCAGGAGGGTTGGGTCTACAGAAATGTGGATGTGCGATTGGGTGCTTCTTTGGCAGTTTTAGTTCCTTATATGGTTTGATTCCTGGTGTCTGGCATTTCCTGTCCGGCCAGTTCTCCTATGGTGGGAAGTTTGGTCTTTGTTCTCCTGTGGCAGGGAAGCTTACAAAATGGCTGTTAGGAATTATATTGCTGTGTAAGTCCTAACAAGTGCTGTATATAAAAATGAATCCAGGAGGGATATCAATAGTGCCAGTGTGGGTAGAAAGCTTACCATGTAAATGTGGTCTGTATTTGAGCTCATTGGGAAGGCAAGATTTGAGCCAAGACTTGAAGGAGTTGTGGGAGTGGAAATGCATGGAGATCTGGAGGAAAGGTGTTTCAGGTAGAGGAAATAGAGAGGGCTAAGTTCTAGGCACAAGAGTTTGCTTTGTATTTTAAGGAAGAGCAAGAGGTCAGTAGCCAGGGTGAGGTGAGAACACAGGGGGCAGAGGAACGGATGTGCAGATCATGGCAGATGTTCTAAGCCCTGGTAGAGACTAGGATCTTACTCCAAGTGAGGTCAGAAGCCAGTGGAGAGTTCTGAGCAAAGGAGTGACAGGAACTGCTTTATATTAAAAAGACCCTTAGTGGTGGCCATGTGAAGGACAAGGGTAGAAGAAGGGAGGCTATTAGGATACTGGTTACTCTGCTGCTGCTAAGGAAGAGGGTTAGAGTACGCTAGGAATATGAGTACAAATTAAAGCTCCTCTTCACCTTGACCTCCCCCTTCCTCTCTTCCTTTTCTTAAAGGTCCTGATTAAAGCAGTATTCCTGTGCCCCTACTGCTCTCAGAGGTGAATGGGTTAAGCTTTAGCTCAGCCTCCCTTTTCCTATTCAGTTCTTCCTGTGGCTGCTTCCCACTGCCAAAAGGGAAGCAATCCTATCTCTTACTGTTTAGTGCTGCTGCTGTCACATGCAGCAGGTAAAGTTCCCTATATTTCTCTGCATAACTTTTGGGACTTTCTGCCAAATCATAGAAAATTTACCTTTTTTTCTCTTGGGAGCCAAAGATATTTCAGAGAAAATAATTTCTCCAGTTGAACATTTCCTAGCCATAACAGCCATGCAAATAGAGCTCTCTATCTGCTTCTTTCTGTGCCTTTTGCCGGTCAACTTTAGTGCCACCAGAAGATACTACCTGGGCGCAGTTGAACTGTTCTGGGACTACAGGCAAAGTGAACTGCTCAGTGATCTCCATGTGGATACAAGGTAAAGGCATGTTTTATAGGGTCTGACCAGGGTTGTGGGGATGTGACTCTGGCAGGAGGAAGGTGCAGACATCAGGTTAAAATGACTGTGATGCTAGTTAAGCCCTGAAAAAGCATTTCCAGGTAAGGCATTTATGCATCTGTACTATTGACACAAATGCTGAGTGCCAATCCTTTTCATAGATCTGACCTATTTGTTGTGTTTTGTCCATTGAATCTTATTGTCGCATGCTGCCACTCTGGAAACTAGAGGAAGGAGTAGAGAAAGGGCAAAGAGGCAAGGGGCATAAGAGAGAGAATAAAGCTTCCATAGAGAGTAGAGCAATGAGATCCCATCAATATTACACACAAGGTTAGTGTCTAGTTCTATTGTGTGTGTATGTGGTGTGGTTTTGATCGCTGCCCAATTTTGGTGTAAGGATAGTATGAGCTATGAATTCACAAGCTTTCATCTTTTGGGGGACCTGGTACATTTTGGGGAAGTAGTATTACATAATATTTTCAATATTGTCTATGGTCATCGATTTATTCAGATTTGTCTACCTCTTCTTCAGTCAAATTTGGTTATATATATATAAAGCAATTATCCCTGCATTTGATAATGTATTTGTATCAAGTTACATAATAGTCTTGTGATATTGTTAGACTATTCTGTGTCTGTAGTTATATCATGATTATATTGTGTATATTATCTTTCCCTCTCTTAAAAATAATATTTCCAGAAACTTTCTCAGTTCTTTACTGATCTTGTCAGGAACCATCTTTTGGTTCTATCGATTTCTGCTTTTACTTCTGTTATTTCATTCCTCTAAATTCCTTTGGTTTATTTTGTTGGTCTATTTTTTGCTTATTAAGTTGACTGCTGAAATCAGTTATTTTAAGTTCTGTTTTTTTTTCTTTAAATGTTTATTATAAAAATTTAAACTCAATACTTATATAGTGGCAATGTAAGTATTAAATGTGGTCATATCATACATACTTTATAGTCATTTTTGTTTTCTGTTTTGCTCTTCACGCTCCCTCTACATTAGCTTCCTTCTTGCTTATCCTCAACCAGGTAACCCTAGTATAATATTTATGCACACACACATATACGTATATAGGCAAATAAAGGTTTTCTTAGTCATTGGGTTTTTGTTTGTTTTTACAAAAATAGGATATTACACTTTTCTTGCTCATTAACACTTAGTAGAATTTTGTCCAAGTTATTTGGCATAACTTCAATATGTTCTTTTTAATGGACATGTAATATTCAATATTATTCCAGTTTTTTGGGCCATTATAGGCTATCTCATTACGTAGTGGTGCTTTTATTCCTATGGGACAGATTCTCGAGAGTGATATTGCCAGAATGAAGGTAATATTTCCTTTTTAGTTTTAATTTCCAAAAAGGCCAGAACTTTTCAAACATTTCTACCATTAAGTGTATGAAAATGGCCTTCTCCTTGCATTCATGTCAGCAATAAGTTTTACCTTTTTTTGTTTGTTTGTTAATCCTTACCCAAGGATATTTTTCCATTGATTTTTATTATGTTTTTTATTTTTTTCCTTTTTTAAAAATGTAATTAATTTATTTTTGTTACAGATGTTTCTCCTATTTCCCCCCTTGACACCTTCTTCCCGTTCCCGCGCCCCCCCCCCCAGCATTGTTGTCTATGTCCATTGGTTATGCTTATATGCATAAGTTTTTGGTTTATCTCTTCCTTCCCCTCACCCCCTCCTTTGAAGTTTCCATTGATTTTTATTTATTTATTTTTTTAATCTTTCTTCTTTTTTTTTTCTTGCTTGTTTGTTTGTTTATTTATTTATTTATTTATTTATTTTTGGTATGTGCCCCTAGCGGGAACCGAACCCGGGACTCTCTGGTCTGCAGGCCAACACTCCAACTGCTGAGCCAAACCGGACAGGGCTCCATTGATTTTTAGATAGAGTGGAAGGGAGGGGGTGAGAGAGAGAGAGAGAAACTTCCATGTGAGGGACACATTGATTGGTTGCCTCCTGTACAACCCCAACTGGGGCATGGATCAAACCTGCAACCCAGGTTCTTGCCCTTGACCAGGAATAGAACCCTTTGATCCGCAGGCTGATGCTGTAACCACTGAGCCAAACTGGTCAGGGCTTGTCTTGCTTTTTAACGTTTGCCAATCTAGTAGGTATAGAGTGATATTACATCATTACTTTAATTGTGTTCCTTTTATTTCTGAAGAGGTTGAGCATCTTTTCAAATGCTTGTTGGCTATTGCATTTAAATTTTGCTCATTTTACTTTGGGCTTTTATATTTTTAAAAATTATGAGAACCCTTTCATTAATACAAATTTTAATTCTTTGTTATTGACTTTATTTATAACTTTACCAAAAAAAGTTTTTAATTTTTATAGTCAAATATATCTACCTATTCTTTCATAGCTTCAGAATTGCCAGTGTTGTCTAAAAATGTTTTCTGCACATCAAGATTGTATGTGTATGCTTTCAGATTTTCTTGCAACAGAAATCACCGTTTTACTTATTACATTTATGGCTTCAATTCATCTGATAATTATTTTTGTGTATGGTATGAAAGTGGGATCTGACTAGTTTTATTTCCATCCAGATCAATGGCCTGTTGCAATGGTACCATTTATCAAATAACATATCTTGACACTGGTTTGAATACGCATATTCATCATATAAAAGACTCATCATGCCCTGGCCAGTTTGGCTCAGCGGTTAGAGCGTCAGCCTGCGGTCCGGAGAGACCCAGGTTCGGTTCCCGCTAAGGGCACGTACCTCGGTTGCAGTTTGTCCCCGGCCCTGGTTGGTCGTGCGGGTGGCAGCCACTCGATGTGTCCCTTCACGTCGATGTTTCTCTCTCTCTCTCCCTTCCTCTCTCTCCCTCCCGCTCTATCTGTACAAAAAATGGAAAAAGTGTCCTCGGGTGAGGATAAAAAAAAAATAAAAAAATAAAAGACTCATCATATATATTAGTATCTATTTCTGGATTCATTATGCTGGGTCACTGATCTAATTTTATCTTCCTATGTCAATATCATATTTATTTGATTACAGTAGGTCTATAATATCTTCTAATATCTGGAAAGTGAAATCAATCATTGCTGTTCTTTTTGTACTTTTTTTTTTTTTTGCATTTTTTAGGCATTTTATTCTTCCATGTAAAAATGGCCCTGGCCGGTTTGGCTCAGCGGTTGGAGCGTTGGCCTGCGGTCCGGAGAGGCCCGGGTTCAGTTCCCGCTGAGGGCGTGTGCCTTGGTTGCAGTTTGTCCCCAGCCCTGGTTGGTAGTGCGGGTGGCGGCCGCTCGATGTGTCCCTTTCGCATCGATGTTTCTCTCTCTCTCTTCCTCTCTCTCCTCCCGCTCTGTCTGAACAAACAGTGTAAAAATGTCCTCGGGTGAGGATAAAAAAAAAAATGTAAAAATGTTTTCCAATCAAAAACAGCCAAATCCTGTTATGACTCTAACTTGAATTTTATTAAATTTATCCATTAAATTTAATAATATAAAATTTTAATTATTACATTTAACACTATGCATTTTATGTGTTGCTGTTGTTAATAAATTGTTTTCGCCCTGGCCGGTTTGGCTCAGAGGTTAGAGTGTCGGCCTGTGGTCCAGAGACCCGGGTTCAGTTCCCACTAAGGGCACGTGCCTTGGTTGCAGTTTGTCCCCGGCCCTGGTTGGATCGTGCGGGTGGCAACCACTCGATGTGTCCCTTTCACGTTGATGTTTCTCACTCTCTCTCTCTTCCTCTCTCTCCCTCCCACTCTACCTGAACAAAAAATGGAAAAATGTCCTTGGGTGAGGATAAAAAAAAATAATAAAAAAATAAATTGTTTTCTCCTATTTCCATTTCTTGATATTTATGATCAGAATACAGAAAAGCTATCTGTTTGTGTATATTCATCTTGAATCTACCTACTTCACTGAATTTTCTTAATAATTCTACTCTAGAGTCTCTAGGGTATTGAATCATATCCAAAATGAGCAAAATGAGACAGATTTTAGCTCTTTTCCAGTGTTCATAGCCAATTTCTTCTCTTCTTATTGAATTTATTAGAAAATACAATAAAATGTTAAGTAATAGTGGTGAAAGTGAGCAATCCTGTCTATGCCGTTATATAATTGAAATAGCCTTAATATTTTGCTTTTTAGAATAGCATTTGCTGTTTGTTTTTCAGACTTTGCTACTTCTATTCCTGTTTGCCATAAATTTATTTATTTATTTTTTTATTAATTTGTTTTTGTTACAGATGTTTCTCATTTTCCCTCATTGACACCCTTCTCCCCTTCCCCCTCACCCCATCCCCAGCTTTGTTGTCTATGTTCATTGGTCATGCATACATGCATGTAAGTTCTGTAGTTTATCTCTTCTTCCACAAAACCCCCCTCCTCTGAGGCTTGTCAGTCTGTACCCCACCTCCATGTGTCTGGGTTAATTTTGTTCAGCAGTTTGTTTGGTTCATTATATTCCACAAATAAGTGACATCGTGTGATATTTGTCTTTCTCGGCTTGGCTTGTTTCGCTTAGCATAATATTCTCCAGGTCCTTCCATGCCATCTCATAGGATAAGAGATTTTTCTTTCTTACAGCTGCATAGTATTCCATTGTGTACATGTACTACAGCCTTTTAATCCACTCATCTACTGATGGACACCTGGGTTGTTTCCAGATCTTAGCTATTGTAAATAGTGCTGCTATGAACATGGGGGTACATATATTGTTCCTGATTGGTATTTCAGGTTTCTTAGGGTATATTCCTAGAAGTGGGATCACTGGGTCAAATGGCAGTTCGATTTTTAACCTTTTGAGGTAACACCATATTGTTTTCCACAGTGGCTGCACCAGTCTGCATTTCCACCAGCAGTGTACTAGAGTCCCCTTTTCTCCACACCCTCGTCAATACTTGTTGCCTGATGATTTGTTTATGGGGGCCATGCTGACAGGTGTGAGTTGATACCTCATAGTTGTTCTAATTTGCATCTCTCTGATGATTAGTGATGTTGAGC